CGCCCGCAGTTAAGAGTACGTGTCAAATCGATCATGAAACACAATTCATAATAACAAACCTATATCAGAAGGATCCGGAACCAGTCCGACCTGGTGAATCAGAAATTCGTTACCTTATAAAATGGCTGAGATGTACTCAATAACTGAGTGAGTGACTGGTTGACTGACTGACTGACTGACTGAGTAAGCCACTAACTGACTGACTGACTGACTGCTATGTGTTCCATGAAACGCGATATTCTGACCGAGGTTTCTCATGATATTTGTAAGACTCACCAAGCAACTGATGGGTTAGTATACCTCAAAGTAGGCCAGGATCGCGTCACTAACCATCCTACAATTCGACGCCCTGCAGTTTGTGCCGCTGATAGTAACACCGCCCATAAATAAACTATAAATGGGCGTACATAAAGTAGATATTACTGATAGCCAACTGCCAAAGTTAATAATTAATGACATTGTGTAAAATGTGCACAGTGGTGTGTGAGAGTGTGTGATATAGCATGAAGAATGCTGGCAAGTGATTTCTAATGTAGAAGAATATTTTGGTGTGCTAGGCAACGGCTTACATGTGTGAGCAGGTGGTATACAGCATCAGAGAATTATTTTATTTCCATCGAATAACTAACGGGGCGGAGTCACTTATGAGAAGCTACTAGATGTTCAGCTGGTTATTCATAGAAACAGCGGGAATTGTGTGGAGACCAGCTGCATGGTTAGCTTCCCCTGTTGTTTTTCTCGGCAATCAGAATACATAGAAATATGAAAATCATATGGGTCCTATATGAATCCACCTCGTACCTCGCAGGAAACACATTACGTCTCGCAACAAAGCCCTACCGGTTAATGCTGTTTAGGGAAACAGTCGCTGTTTATTGTGAGAACCATACGTAACACACAGATACACTGTGTGGGCAGAATATATAGCAGTTCAGTTCGTACCTCACAGGAAACATTACATCTCCGCTACAAAGCCCAACCGGTTTATGCTAGTTAGGGAAACAGTCGCTGTTTATTGTGAGGCAAGGGCTTCTTATACATGTTTCCGCAGCAACAGACTCGAAAGCAACAATGACATAGCAATAGATGAGCGGTGTTTTGTGTGGTACGCGCTGCGGCCGATGCTACGCAACGGCGCGGTAAACACATCTCTGCGGCAACGAATCCAGACAGAAAATAGAAGACCTGTCTTTTGTACGTGCTCCGTGCTGAGGTGTTATAACTTGACGGTTTGGGGCAATTGGTTGCAAGAGTGCTCAGTTGGAAGTCGGTTCGTGCAGAGAGGACTTTGAGTGACGTTTGGGAGTGTGTAATTCAGTGAGATTCTTATAGTTTCTGTGTTAATATCCGCTGCCGGGAAACGGCTAGTGGAGACTGTAATAGACTGAGGACACTAGTCTGTGTGTGCCAGTGATGTGTAAAATGTATTCACCAGTCGTTGGTATGTAAGTGCTCACTAAATCGAATGACCAATGCGAACTCCGTCTTTAGCCACTTATACACTTGACAATATCCAGACTCCATCTCGTGGATTGGTAGAATGAAGTAAGTTATAAATTGAGTAAGAGTTGGAAGTTCTTTTGGCCAATCGAGATACTTTGCCGACATCCTTTTGGAGGAACTTAGGAAAAGCACGAAGGCCCCACGGTCAGGATAAACAGTATCCCGGACGTAGTTCGAACACAGTACACCCAAATACTGGCCTAAAATGTTACCGCTGCGCTAACCGGCTCACTGAGGACGTTACGTTTTTATTGTGACATGACACCTGAACGCCGGAAGTGTGCAGTCATAAAAGCACAACAGAGGCGTCTGTTGCTAGACAACGGCTATATGAAAAACGTTCCAGAGTGTTACGCTGTCCACGAGAATACACGCCCGTTGCTGGGCAGCGGGTTTTGGTTGCTACGGTATTATAGGCGTGTCCGGGACAATGCAGACGTTAATAGCAGAATGGAATCCTTGGAGACCGTGTTCTCTATTCGGTTCGCATGGCGTGAGCTCAGTTCGAGATTCAGACAGTGAGGTAGCATTAGAGAGAAAGAGAGTTCCAGAGGATTGAGAACTGTTACCAAGTAACGACTACTAAGCACATGTTGTAGAATTAATTTTGTGTGTTGTAGTGTGTAGTGTTATAATTACTTGTAATTACAACTTGGGAGTATCCAGTAAATCAATTCACCAATCCAAACCCCGTCTACAAGTCACTAATACATGTGACGATACTTTTGTTACAGGAACTGAGGACACCAACCTGCCGTTAGCACAAGAAGCAGTAGTGGTAAGTAGCAAAACGTAAGATCTCCTAAACCTCTTTGGAGCGGTAGGTGTGCGGAATAGGAGCGCCCTACTGTCGGTTCCACATTTAGGCCTGTATCAGGCCAGGATGCAGCCCGTGGCTTGTGATTCCACTGAACTAGGCCGGTTTTATTCTGCTATAAAACAATTTTTCCTTTCCCCCACTGACGGATTCAAAATTAATTCTGAAACTATTGTGACATGACGATTGAAAGCCTGAATAGCGGAGCCACAGTAACGTTCATCGCTAGGCAACGTCTCGATGAACACGTTCCCACTGCAACGAATAAGCAAGCAACAGTTGACGTATTGTTGGGATAACGAAGGAAACGGCGTTTTTTGTGGGTCCGCCCCGAGGCTGTAAAACGTGGAACCCAGGCAGCTGGAAGCAAATCTCGTGTAGAGGCGGGTTAGAATACCTCCACCGTGGCCCTGGGGGTTGTAGGACGTGAAGAAAAGGGAACCCAGTGCCTCGGGGGTATAACTGGGCCACCCTGTTCCTGGGGAATATAAATATGGGGACCTGGCCCTAGGTTGGGGGAGTATCGAATCTGAGACAGTAAAATGTGGTCATAAGTCCTTTGGGACTCGAACCTGAGGATGACTGCGCTGGCGAGGCTCAGCAGCAGTTGTATAGGACAGACCCATCCTCTCGTCAGATAGGATATTACACAAGGACTATAACCGGAATTGTATGGTTTGAAAATAAAATTACTGGTCGTGAGTCTGAAAGGGCTTGTCGCCAAGATGGACTGATTGGCTGCAAACCGCCAGTCGCAACGTAACTGACTCTGCAAGGATGAGAATTAAGGGAGTGTAGGGAGATGGCAGTCGAATGAGTCAGAAAGGAATTAGGCTGTGCAAAGAAGAATTCATGTGTGATACAGTTACAGACTGGTCTAATTACTGTGTTGAAATCCGTTGCCAGGATAAGACTAGTGAAGACTAAGAACCCTAGTGCGTGTGTAACGGTGAACTGTAATGTTCGTAGATCAGCGGTAGCTCTGTATTACTTGTAGTTACGTGTTGAGTGTATAAGCGCAATAAATCCAATCATCAACATCCCGTCTATGGTCACTAATACACATGACACTTTGAATTCTATACACAGTCGGTAGGACTCCTTGGAGGGTGGATCAGCCCGTCTCAAGGCAGAAATACAGAAATTCATAAATATAACATGTGCCACGATCCCAGTGTTTGAGCTGGCTAAGACGTTTCGTGCGGCCACTGTGATGGGCTGATAGGATTAGTATTGTTATAAAATGAATTGCTCTTCGCTTCGTTCATTTTGCGGCAGGGATGTCATCTTGCGGAAAGTGTAGAACTTCTCCAAAATAAGTTGGGCTGTGAATGAGAGAGGCGGAGGGGGGGAGGAGTGAATAGAATTTGAAGTGGAATCAGAAAGCTGGGCAAAACGAAGAGGGAAAATCCGGTATAAATGGAATTGAGGAATTTAAAATACTCGGCCTATATAAGCGAAGTTTGGGGGACCGATGAAAGACTCGCGCATAGAGGAAAGATACTAAAGGGAAGAGGAACTAATAAAGTGAGTCAGTTCCCGGACGGAGTCCGGGGTTGGTTGAGGCACTATGCTTACAAGCCGGAAGGTCGAGGTTTCGTTTCCCGATGAGGTCATTGGATTTTTCAATTAACCTAATCCTTCCAGCCGCACTATGGCCCTGGGGTCGATTAAGCCTCTAACAGAAATGAGTACCAGGAATCTTCCTGGGAGTAAAGGGCGGCCGACCGGCGCGTGAGGCTGACAACCTCACCGCCATGTGTGAGCCGATTGTGTAGGAAATGTGGAAACCTCGGCGTCTCACAACCCTATGGGCCTCCACGGCCTCTTACAGTCGGTCGGACCCCATGGAGGATCAGCCCGTCGCAAAGACGCTACTTACACAGAACAAACGCACACATAAATCCATGCTTTCAGTGGGATTCGAAATCGCATGCCAGCCTTCGAGCGGGCGAAGACAGTTCCTTCCGTAGACCGCGCGGCCACTGTGATCTAAGTCACAACATATACTCGTAAAGCAGCGAGAAGTGTAAACACGAACGTACGGACACGATTACTGCTGCTAACTGCAGCCTTTAGCTTCAGATGTGACATCAGCTAGGAATAATTCGCAAGAATCTGCAAGTCAAATGTAAAAGTGAAACTGCCTTGTTAACTCCACCAAGAGCAGCTTGTCGCTATGATACGGGAGGGGGAGAGGGCGGGTTATTGCAGAGGCCGACTGTAGGGACGTGCAGATATAGCTGCAGACATGGTCTGTCTTGGTTGTAATGCTGGAACCAGGAAGGACGGCTGCTTATTGCGCAATTATAAGATTCCGTTGTTGGCAAATTTGTTTAACTCCAACCTCTCATGCATTGTAGCGCTAAGAATGTGATTTGTCTTATCGTATTGGGGTATGTAGACCCATTGTTAAGCAATGACCTCGAAAAACCTAGACCACGGTCCGCAAACAGCAACAGAGCAACTGTGTTTTCTTTGCGCTCAGTGCCGAGGTGTTAGAAGCAGGAAGTTAGGGACAGTCAGTGGATACGACCATTCAGGTGACTAAGCTGCCTTTGTAGCATAAGACATTCAAGCATACACTGTGTGGGCAGAATATATAGCAATTCAGTTCGTACCTCACAGGAAACACGTTACGTCTCCGCTACAAAGCCCAACCGGTTAATGCTGTTTAGGGAAACAGCCGCTGTTTATTGTGAGAACCATACGGAACACACAGATACACTGTGCGCAGAATACAGAGCTTTGGTACTCTAACGCAAGTGGTACATATATACGTGTATAATCACTGTGCTTTAAAAGGTTAAATACAGTAAAACAGGATTGTGTAAGCCGAATCTGACATTAAGATCTGATCTCTTTCTCATGTCCTGACGACTCTTCCAAGAGGAACGCCCCAGGTTGCCCAACCGCTGTTCTTCACAGTCCGCCGTTGCCGTGAGACTGCGTCCGTATAACTTAACAGATGATCCCCTTGATTGCAGAGCGAGAAACGAAGAGATATCTCTTCCCTGTTTCATGAAATGTAAATATTACCCATTATTGCAAATGTCTACACGATACTCCTGACATCTCTGGCGTCACAGATCAACTGATGGCTTTTGTCTCCCTGTGTAATAAAAGTATGCCGAGAACATTTCTCATTTAAACAAGAGTAACAAACGGAATTGAAATGAAACAGATGTGATTTAAAGATGTGGCTTTATTATTGCGCCTCGTTCTCATTTACTTCAGATGTAATCGAGAAAGTTACGCGAACTAACCTCATATTGTTACAGACCTCACGCTGCGTACGGTCAGATATTGTCTGTATTCACACTTCATCAGATTCTTGTTATACTGAGAAATTTTTAAAATAAAACTTGTTGATCTCTATAAAAGGTCGAAAAGCTAAAACTATCCCTGTAACAGGTCGTGGAGGTTCATGGGTTTGTGAGACGTCGAGGCTCCCACATTTTCTAGACAATTGGCTGACAGATGGCAGTGAGGTTGTCAGCTTTACGCGCCGGCCAGCCACCATTAATCCCCAGGAAGATTCCTGGTACTCATTTCTGTTAGAGGGTGAGTAGACCCCAGGGCTGCTGGAAGGAATAGGTCAATTGAAAAATCGGGACTCGAACCCGCCACCTTCCGGCTTGTAACACAGTGCCTCAGCTAACTACGCTACTACGTGCCTCTGCCGAATAAGGGCTCATAACGTCCTGAAACTAGCTAGTGTTGCGCTCTGTCGGCACACTGTTACCATAATTTTAGGCAGCTCCACAACCATCTCTTATATATATAAATAATAATAGAGGTAAAGATGAAAGGCAAAGTTGTGTCTATGCTTAACTAATTAAGCCCCATGCCATAAAGACGTATGGAAGAGTGGAGGTATAACTCCACATTCTTAACCTGGGCACTACATGGAATGGCTTTAACCTCAAGGAAACAGTCCCCGGTACCCAGTGGATATGATGCTGGATGGGCCCCGTAGGTGTTCTTGAGGTTATGGAGAAGAGAAAAACATTCCCTACAGGGAATCGAACCGTGGTCGTCGAGCCTGTAGCCCGTCGCTATACAGACTGAGCCATCCTGGATATACACATCGTTTCATTATATATATATATATATATGTTTATGTAAGTGTATACATAGAACTATGATTTCAGTAAGTATGTGCTGTCAGTCAAGAGACCGCAGTTGCTGCGAAAAGTCGGCAAGATTCTACCAGAATGTATGGTGTCACATCCAAGAAGGAATCACAGACGCTTGCTAGTGCACATGAACTCCAGCGCATTGACTGTGATTACATTTCAAAACGCTTGTTTTATTCAAATGTTTGCATGGCCCATAATAAACGCCGTTCTGCAAATACGCCATGTACGATATATCTCGAATCGTTTCCAATTAATTCGTAGCTACATTCGCTTTATATCTGTGACACGTTTGTACGCGTTATGTTATTAGTTCATGCGGAACGCATGTGAAGATGCGATTTTAAAGGGAACGTAATATGTCTGTGTCTAATAGCTTCGCGTGAGAAAAGGTTAAATCCTACTGAATCTAGGGGTGCAAAATTTCAACAAAGTGTTGTGTGGGGGTTGTATTTTCCATGTAATATCCCTACCTCCCCCGAAAAAGAAAATTTTGCTATGTAATATTGTTCAGTAATAGATGGGGTTGAGATTTGTCACGTGGAGTGTAAGGAGTCTTCACAAGGCTCGTTCACTGAGAGCAGATGCAAGAATTTGCAAAGTTTTGGTGGGGAAAAACACCACTGGGAAGATCTAGGTGTAGATGGAGGATAATATTATAATGAATATTAAAGAACGTTCCAAGTACAATTAGAATGATCAAGTCAAGGAGGATGAGGTGGGCAGGGCATGTAGCACGAATGGGGGTGAAGAGGAATGCATATACGATATTGGTGGGAAAGCCAGAAGGAAAGAGACCACTGGGAAGATCAAGGCGTAGGT